ACCCAAATCTGTCGACTACGTGATGTTGTCCGACTCTTTACATATTAGGCATTTCAATTTCTGTTGCGCTGAAAAAATACATCAGTGATCCGATTAACGATAAATAGCGCCGACGTCAAATGACGTTGAGACTATGGTGTGTCCTCCTCGATCAAGCCAGGTCGATCACTTAATACCTCATCGAATACATCGAAACATACATCAGTTTTTGAAACGTGCAATTTGGCTAGCGCGGATAGTTTCGAAATGACCGGAAAAGTTGGGAGTTCTGCTGCTGGTCGCTTTTTTGAAACTTCCAGCGATCGGCCTCGTTGGTCTTGTTGAGAACGGCCAGAAGCGGCAGATGAATAGAGCCGTACTACGACAAAGGATTCCAAGAACCTGTAGAGCCGGAGGTAAAATAACGGTAAAATATAACCTGCGGCTTATTGTTCGTGTTATACGATCATGCCAGCGGTGCTCATCATGTAAAACCGCTATGGCGCCATCATTTTCTTGAGCCTTAATCATATCTGGCCTCTTGTTGTGCACTGCTCAACGAGACAGGTCTCGCCAACGTGGGTGCACCTGGCGCGGCATGATGCCAAGTTTATCATCCATTTATTTGCTAAACAACACAGCGTAAAGTACGACTTCACAAACAAACAGATAACCAAAATTCTAGCCATAGAATATATGTCGAAGCGTAGAAAAGGCGTAGAGAGGCACAGCGGCTGAAGGGGCAGCCGTGGAGCTGACTATCGTAATTCCGTCGTCAGTGGCGTCCGTAACAGTAACCACGCATGTGAGTGAGAGGTTCTCGGCCTCCAACGCTTTGAAGTAGGACGAAACGAGAAAAAAGGAAGCCAAGGTGGGTAGGGTAAAAGGAGGCTTGAGGGGCGTAAGTTGGAAGAACTCTGGGCATGTGAAGTTCTTGTCTACAAACCGCCTCAGGGGATGGTCGAGAGAGGTGAGATAGATAGCACGCCCGCGGCCCACTATGTAGTGAAGCGAGCTGTTGGTAGGTTACGCTAGGAGCGAATCTAAAAAAGACCTTATCGTGAAAATAAGAAACTTTGGTGCAATAGCGACGACCGCCAGCTGCTAAGCCGTAAGTAGCGACATTATATAGACACATCGTGTATTGTTAGAAAGTAATGCAGGAAATCTCTACCTCGGGCGGAAACTATTTAGGAAGCACAGTCTGACTATGATGATATGGGAAAGAAAGTATAACAAGCAAGTGCGCGGATTAGTCTCTAAAGCCTCATTCAAAACAACTCGCGGCAGTTGCTAAGGGTTAAATGATTAGGAATGTAACCGCAAAATCGAGCATTTAACCTTGGCAGGTTTCCGAATGAAGACTTCGTCGCCATGCACATATGGATAACAATTTTCCCGTTTTAAGGAACCCGATCAGACGTATAACAGAGATGAATATCGGAAGGACAGGATCGGACGGGAATTCATCACTTATGCAAAGCCTTGCCCTAGCTCCAGCCGAATCGATAGCAGCAGCGTATCTGGTCGCTCAGTCAGCAGCCACTACTTCGAGGCGTCGATCCTAGACGAGGGCCGACGGCAAGGTGCCATAGGTTATGCTACAACGCGGTGAAAGGATGATCTAAAAAAAGCATACAGAAAATAGAATAATAAGAAAGTTCGGGGAACAGAGCGCCTGAGACACACAAGAGTACGCTGCGGGAAACTTAGCCACCGTTACCTGACCATCGTCATCGCAAAGGAAAATGCGGGACGTCTGAAACAGGTTGTCTAAAAGGTGCTGTTACGGAGGCTTCTGTTGTCAACTGCCGCAGTTCGGACATAACGGCTAGAAACTTAAACTTAAGGACAGGTGAAATATACCTGAGAACTAAAGATGTCACAGAGTACCAGGGCCATGGAATGATAGAAAAGTTGTACTTATTGACTAGATAAGTGGTCTTCATAAGTTCGTGTTTAGTGTGTATATGTACATGAGAAAAACGCTCTTTTTTAGCCTTTTGAGCGACAGTTAGTGGCCTTGCATTATTATTTCTGAATGAATTTATATGTTAAATTAGACGTATTTACTAATAGCTATATTAGTTTCCCTATACAGGCGTACAAGGATTCCTTAAGTTACATATACAAAAATCCGCGCAGTCAATTCGAGTCGATAAAGGGCTGGTGGTAAAACAGTTCTACACTGCTTAGGCCAGTGAATATACACACATATACCTGTTATGTGAACCTAAATTCAGTGTCTATTAGAATTTTCTAAGCAAACTACAAACAGCAGTTAAACTTTGATCTGGGTGACTTTGGTGCGTCCTTTCGACGAAAATTTATGTGAAGCAAGGCATGGCTGAATCGGCATTCTGCTTTTGTTCAATTCAAGCTCTGTGAACCGAAGAGCTCCAAAGAAGGCACTCTCTAGAAAAAATGGTGGCTGAAAAAGAGACAGAAAAAAAGGAGAAACGGCCGAGTCCATTGGAGGAACTAAGCTTAGGGGCTGCCTTACGTTTTTCAGTGAATGACTTTGTGCTTTTAACACAACGGCTCCGTCCACTGGCGGCCAAAGCAGCCGGTCGAAACGACAAAAAGCGGGCACATGAAAAAGCAGAATCGACGTCGGCTTAAACCCAAAAAAGCATCATTTTGTAGGAATCATATATAAAAAGAGTTCTATGAACATGAACTTTGGAGTAGAATTTGACTACGGAGAGTGTACGGCAAAATGTGACCTCATTTTAAGTCATACTATAATAAATAGTTAACGTCTACGCGTAGTCTGAGATCGCGAGATAAAAAAATACGTCCATAGAGGGCGTATATTATGCATAATGTGTGATACAACGAAAAAAGCATAAATGATGGTCTGATACTAATGTTATATGTATAAATAGTGGAAAGTACAACGGTCAAAAGCATCAACTCCACAATAAGAACAAGCAATATAAATATAATTCTTTATTGTACAAAAGGGCTCTGTGAGGGTCGAGCTCTGAGGCGCCGTCTGTCGGAAGTCGTCAATGTTATAGCCCGAACCTGTACTTTGCCTATGTACATATATATACACACATTTACATACATGTTCGATTACAATTTGCGCCAGGAACGTCTATCGCCGATTGCGATATTAAAAACTGAAGTTGTAGACCAATGTAGTATTTAAGCGACCTTCATTAACAACGTAGCATACTTGCCGGCCATTGGAAGACATAACAAATCGTTGCCTATTAATCTGCCTTAGCTTTACTGCTCCAAATCAAGCATCATCTCCATCTAATTATTTAATGAACGATAAATTTATTCGATAAAACCTGATTCGACTGCCGTCCAGTTGACAACTATTTCTACATGATACATAATACAGTTGACCGTTTCCGTACAGTTGCTGCACACGTCGCATCCCGCTCTACGTTGACTTTCTGCTATACATAAGTACTTTGCCGTGCAGACTGACGGAAATAAATTTTCCGTCAAGAGATAGCACAGCCAATACCCTGGCGTAGAAGCACCTTCTTACTTCTTGAAACCGTACGCAGCTCAAATTAATTAACAGTAAAGCTTACATCGGTAGCCGTTGTAACAGTAAGCCGTCAGCGCTTAGGACTGACTTGGCTTCCTATAAAATTAGATAGATCGAATAAAATTTAATATTGCCTCAAAGCAGATAAATTTTCCCTTGCTTTGAACCAGGAGCACAGATGTGATGACGCAACTTCGTGAAAGAAGTTACATTTTGCTTAAATCTGCCACAACATGCCGACGCAGCTTCCACCGTCCTCAAAAAATATCCATCGTAAACGTTCGTACACGTTAGACAAGTTATGGCTTGTCGACACCTTCACTGCCGCAGCTATATCTCAGGCACTTAGCTTAGGAGAGTGACGTCGGAGGTTGCCGTTCCTGCCGTTGGCGACATTAGCCACTGTTTACTCCTCGGAGAACCCCACGATGGAACACAAATACTAAAAATAAATAAAAGCAGATGCAATTTGAAGTACGAAAATGGATAGGTAGCTGTAAATAGCATTAATGGAAGACCTCGAACGGGAGCAAGGGCTTAGGATATTGAATAGGTGGCGGTCGGTGTACGGCGACGGGACAGATCGCGAAGAGAGTAGGCAGAAAAATGGGAATAGCCTGGGACTTTCCGAATCGGCGTGGCTTGTCGGTGTCACTTTTTCTAGAATTGTTTGTTTTTACTGGCAGCCGTCCGTTATACATCTGTTTGATAAATCGGGTACAAAACACAAACACGTCCACGTTACTACTGTAACACACATGTTTCTCACAACAACGGATAGAGACGGAATAGAGAAGAAATACGACCAAGCGTGCCAGCTGGTTGGGAAAGTGTTCCGTCAGTATTTAAAGGCAGTGACATATTGTCAAGCGAAAAAAGACAGTGACACAACAACGCGCAATGGCATGAATGTGACCAAACAGCACGATCAGGCTGAATTGAAGGAAAGCACGACGAGGCAAGGCAAGTAGTTGCCTTTACCCTTTAACTAAGGATTTCTTGATGGAAACGTAGCGACTCGACAAAAGACCAACGTCCGTGGGTTTCACATCGCCAATACGAAACGCACTTCATAGACAAGTCATACCAGGATATCGCTACGTTGCGCACGAAACTCAGTGTCGTCGCAGAAAAATGCCAAAGCTAGCCACTGAACGTTCCTTAGAGCGATCTTCTTTTCTCTTGATCGCAGATACGTGTACGCAGTTGGACAAAGTGATGTTGCACATAAGTACAGCCTATGTAAAAACTTGAACGAATTTGTGCCGAAATTGAGTGGTAAGGTACTCCGCGTCGCAGTCTCAACACGTTTTATACAATATTATGTTATTATGTCGTTGAGAAGATTCACAACACACAGGTGCGTGCATATTTCAATACTACTGAACACAGATACCGATGGTTCTTGGGGAAGAGCCATCTTATTGTAGCAGTGGCGTTGGGAACAACAGTAACAGGCATCTTTGACGAGATTCGCTAAATCTGTTTCTACTTGTCATTCTTTCAGGTTGCGGATATGTAACATGACGTTCACGCCAAACTCACTTGGCTTCAGCCACTCGCCAAACTACAAGACTTTCCATTATCCTCGTATCGACCAATCGATAGACGCAGTTATTTACGTAACGGTAAATATCAACAACTCTTGGTAATAGCTAAAAGTAGTATATGTCAAAGGAGAAAGCGAATTTGTACGGCCTGACAATTTGTTTTCTTTCTACTAATTGACTGTAATAAAATATTGTTTCATTTCAAAAAATAGATATAGAGCGAGAACGAGCAGGTTTATTCCTCTTCAGAAAAGGCATCACACAGAACTACTACAGAAGGTATAATGATGAAAGATTATTCAGAACGCTTTCAAATACGTTTCGCTTAACGTACTGCACGTACGAAGTCCAACTGACTCCTATTCTACCAAATGACTTTTACGGAAAATAAAAACGTACGTTTTATTGAGGTGTTCAGTAGGAGATACGATACGCAGTAACCTATGCGTTCATGTATACCTAAACACCCCTATGCAATGACCGATGAATCTATTCCTTCTCGAAGAAATCATGTTTTCGGCTTGATTGGATTCGTGACCATAGCCCGGGAGCCTCATCAATGTTTTCGGCTTTTGGAGTCAAGTTGGCGAGGATTACAGATTGTCTCTAAAGGGTCTCCTTGTGCTTTAGAGAAATCTTTGCTCATTTTGGCTTATGCTTGCGCTTGCTCTGTTTGTGAAAAATAATTAGAATACCGGCACCGACGGCCACTTGACCGATCCGAAAGCCAGCTGCAACTAAGAGTCAAGACTTTTGACCCCCTGCCCTTTCCAGTATTTCAACGAGTTCACTTTTAGCGGGTCTGTGCGAAAAGCTGTTTGCTAGATGACAGCTAGCATAGCTGAGCTTAGTGGTTGGTTTTTCCTCGCTGCTGTTCAGCGGTAGGCTTGAATTGCTTTTGAATAGCGTGTTTACGGTCAGACCTCTGCTGGCCTTTTCGGCAGTAGAGGAACGTTTCGCTGCCCCGCGTTCGTTTTCCTCGATGTGTGTGCCAATTGTCTAGTCGCCCTGTCGCCCAAGATCTCAGTCCGCTTTTTGCTTTCGTATCCCAAAAAAAAAAAAAGGAATCTAATGTGTAGTAAACCAAATACGCCGAGCGCCTCTTTGGCCCAACGTATTTTTTGTTGTGGATTTCACGTTGGGCTCTGTCGAGAGCCGTCTAGCTAGGAGGAGTCGGGCAGCCAGCGAGGCAGATAGACAAACACTAGCCATACTACACGTGGTATTGCTTGGAGGTGACGGACAATACCATAGCTACTGTAGCAGTAGTGCTAGAAGCAGACCAAGATAGTAATATTGGAATTTTTGCCCTAGAACTCGAAGGACATGTATATGTGACAGGCTTTCACACGCGAACAACATTGCAAGCTCGCCTATGACATGGAGGAGAATGCAACGACGCGAAACCGGCAGACTGGACTGATTCTACAATGATCACAGAAGCACTCTCCTCATTGTTGCGAACGTATCCGCCGTTTCGAGGTAGGCGCTAGAGTGCAGAATCAGAAGGGATTTGACGCAACTGCCAGAATCGTGTTCCTGTGTTTGGCTACGTACGTTCTGTCTATGTAGGACCTTTCTTTTTCGTTTGCGCCATATCGTTCTCCGATGTTGCTATTGCCTTCTATGTGAAAAACAAGCATCAAGCTAAAAGAGCTCCGAACCAGCTGTTATGCACTGTAGATAATTTGAAGGGGCATTTTCCTCAAATAGTAGCACAGTTTAATGCAACTAGTCTTCTGAATATTACGACGGCCGTTAACCGGTTTTTGCGCAGAGAAACAAACCACAGTTACACTATGCGGTAACCCTTTTAGCTATTTTCGGATGTGAAGGTGATAAAGAGGTTACGGAACGTCCAACACAAGCAACCTGTAGTAGACAGGGAGAAACTATTTACCCATTATATTAATAGGCATATGAAACTATGGGGTTTCATGTCATGCGCGGAGTTATCTGAATATCTTTACGGTCTGGTTATCGATAATGGACGTATAAAAACGTTCTTATTGGCTAGCTTCATAGCATAACACTCTGCAAAGAGCTTCTTAAGGGGCTAAAGTACCAATAGCTAATAAGACGACACTTACAGCGGGAGATTTATGGACGATGTTTCCCAAAAGTGTACGTCTGATTAACATGCCCTACAAAAAAATCAGTGAGTGTAAAGGTTTCTTTTTTCCTGTGGCAATAAGTGACCTGACGTGATGCACATTGGCCCCAAGAAGAATTTGACAGAATCGATACTCAAGTAACTGTAACAAATAGGAATCAGTTGAGACCTGTCATCCCGATCAAAATTATGCCCATTATTTCATCGTCCGCTGGTGTCCATATTGTCCAACAAATTAAACGGATTAATAGACTAACGCAGCATTGGATAGCGGTGCCCAACCACCAAACATTGCAGAGTTGTGTGTCTCTTCAGTACGCTAGGTAACGATTTCTTCCTACAGCCGGAGTTGCTGCTGTTGTTCTCTTTGTCGCCACTGTTGCACACAGAAGTCAAGACATATGACTTTAACTAGGCAAAGGAGTGTTGTGTATAAATTCCCACTGTCGTGTTCTGCATGAACGGCTGCTAAAACAATGGAAGTAGAGAAAAGGTAGAAAGAACTCCTCAGTGGCCGTTCGAGGCTTGAAGCAGCCTGAAACAGGAGTCCCAGCTCCTGTTGTAGTCCATCGGATAACCCCTTTCTTTTTTCGCTAGAGGGCGCAAAAGCAATTGCTTGGAGAAAGAGGGGGTGGGGACAGAAGCATTTCCGACGGCACCGAATGGCAGAAAAGCGTTCGGAAGACGGGCCATACAACTTGAGCGACTTTAGAATTTCCTTCAGTTGCCTCCGGTGGTTAAGAAACCAAGATAGAGGAGTAGGGGACAAGCGGCGATTAGGTTTGGGGGGTAGGAGGAATGGTGCGGTAGAGTCGTTTGGTAGAGAGCGCGATGCGCTCTAGCGACCCGGAAGACTCCCACTTCTATCTTTCTCTCTCGACAACGGCCGAGGCCGCTTATAATACACACTACTAGGCTTCATCTATATCTCGATTCAATAAGGGAAAAGAGGTGGCTCTTTATTGGTCTGGCTCACTGTTGTGTTACCTATTTCGTAAAGGAAATAGGTAATATCGAGACAGGGCGCGCGCTAAAAGTAACTGTTTTTATAGTTTTAAATAATTAGAAAAAAGTGAGCGCATAATAATCTGGGTACAGTCTTCAAAGGGCAAACGTGCCGATTAGGTCAATTCTCGTGGAAGAGTAGTAAAAAATATTATATCGTCAACCAGGTAACAATTATACCATTTAAGTCAATGTTTTTCAACGTGTTCACCGGCTACCGTGTACATCCATCCTATAGCGTACCAGGTTAGTGTTGGACACGAACATTGACGTTTCGCCTGTCGCTTTGGATACGATTATATGCTACGTGCGGATCAACAGCTAAAACTCAAATTATCAGCTACGTAATGGTCACCTTCGAACTCGATAAGCAGCAGCGTCACAGAATGGTATCCCAGGGAAGATATTTACTGAATGTTGTACATGCTGATAGAGACAGTGAAGATATTTGTTATTGCAAAGGCCACCGGCGAAGTATGCAAAATTCAGTCTACGAAGAGATATACTCTCGGGAAGCATGTGGACCACAGAGCAAATCAGAGAAAAAAGGACTGGCCTTTTTGTTCCATGCGAACAAAACAGGCTGTCTCGTTTTGCCTGCACTGTTCCGATTAGCAGCATCAATAGATCAATGAATGGTCCCCACGCAAACGAAGCGGCGACGGTATCGAATGGCCAGTGCGTCTTTATTCTGCATACTGGCTATGGCCTGCATCAGTGAAGATGACCTATGGATGATCTGAGGAGCGATTTGCTGATATTATTGTATTTGCAGGTCAGGAAAATAGCTTTGTTGGGTGCGAAAAAACCTATCAGGCGCTTGTTTATTTTGACAAGCATCCTTTCAGAGAGCTTTGGACTCAGGCGTATTAGCAAGGCAAACAAATGTTCCTAAACAGCTGCAAAGTTCAACCTGCTATTTACCCTCGCTAAAGCGTAAAAAGATCATTTCTTTTCATTGATAGCATATGTAATGGTTTCGGGTTTGCCTAGGTACTTAGGCCATTTAATCTAACGCGGTACATGTTTTTTACTCTTTCAATAGCGTATATTCATGCAGGTGTTATAATGCAACGATTTCTTCCCAGATATATGAAAAGTAAGATGTAGATGAAGCGTTTATAAATAGGGATCGCTAACCATTTTTTCTAACCCATTACAGAGCGCGTCCTCCTATAACTGTGTACGTCCACCATTCAGATGATAGCTTTTTATCCGTCCGAGCGTATACGAGAGAACCTTGTCGCTATTGTTAATAGCGCAGAGGTGCCAGCCCATTGTTTCCTTATGTATCTGTATGACAGATTATGAAATGTTCTATCATAATATTTTGTACATTCCCCAGCTTAGGCCCCAATTATCGTAGCCGTCTTCAGCGAACATTGGCCCAGTTGAGGATAAGTAATATCAACCACTAGTTCTTTTCACCCATAGCCTCATACATTTAAAGACAGCCGCTTCCCACTGTATTGTTGTTGTTGTTGTTGTTGTTGCCAACATGCCATTGTCGGCACTCACTACCCCTTTGTCATATGCGTATACACTGTATGACAGGCTCTGCAAGGTTACAGGCGTGCAGAAATATGGACGACTTATTCAGTCTCCGAAAATTGAACTATTTAGGGCTGCTTTCTTTTTCACTCTCTGAGCAACATGCCCTGCAAAAACTACTGCACTTGTTTCTCCATCGGTAACATTACAGTTAATCGCTGTTTTACGTTCGCTAAAACTCCTCCCCCTAAGCTCTTAAGATGTCGTCTGCGGCGAGGCTTCTGCATCCATCGGTTCCCTGCAAGCCCTGGTAGATCTAGTTTGTTGCTTTTGTGCTTACTCAAATACAGCCATATCGAGAGAGAGAGAGAGGGGGTAAGCGAGGCGCCCGGAAGAGGAGGGGGCTGCGCGACTCGGCTAAGTTTATGATAGCAGCTTAAAAAACTGCTTTCAACCATGAAGCGGTTAGAAAAACTATATGTAGCCTTAATGGATGGTGAAGATGATTCTCTAAGAGGTCTACGGATTGGGCCAGCTCGAGTGCAGCTAAACGTACGGAAAAGAAAGTGTTAATGATGAATATTGCAGTGTTTAAAGAACAAGTTCGCGAAAGCATCGCATAGATTGGCGTGGCGAGCACAACATATTCATGTAAACGTAAGCTGATATGTGTCTTTTTGGCAAAAGACCTTTGCGTTTGTATTGTTGGTAGCATGTCCTGAAGAAGACGGTATCAGGTGCCTATCTATTTATTCCTGACAACCCTGAACCTGGCCGCGTCACAGTATTGTTTTAAAGTGGATGTTATACGATTGATTAAATCTGTTGTTCACAATATATTCCTTACTAAATGTTTTGGGGTTTTGCGTGCGATACTGCTTTTTGCCGTCCTTCAGGCGATCGCCTCCCACTACGAAGCAGTGCTACGTCCGATCTCGAACCTAAACCGCTCTAAATCCAATGACGGAACACGTTATTACTGCATTATTTCAAAGCACCTCTGTAACGCACCTTGCGCGTGTATGCGTATGTATTCATGTCAGTAAAATTGTGTATTGAAAATTAAATTAATGTATTTGCTTCTACTGCATTATTAATCTGTTGTTGCTGGACGTTGAGTGTCGTACAAGGTACATGTTATATATCCAAACGTTAAGTATTTGACATATAGGTCTTGCCACGATCGTCATCTTCCATTGCATCAGTTTGTTCCAAACATGAGTTAAAATACCCTATATAGTTAAGTTTCCGCCCAGCGCCCAGAAGAGGATGATATGCTGAATAGCTGAACTTTTTGACAGAGATCAATTAGAAGATACCTTTAGTAAAACGAACCGCTTTTCTTAATAATCTTTCATACGTACTTAATAATAATCCTTCATACCTTGCCTACCTACCTCTTGTTTGTAAACCTACTTATATATATCGAATTTTTGTTTTCTTCCATAGATTGGCCGCCTGCTTCCTCTAAACGCCCTAGTAGCTTTGCCCGCTGGGGTCTGCCGCGACCAGAGTGGGACCTCTGGCACAGCGGCGTCGTATCGCACTGTATTCTGGTGAGCGAGCCCGCCAAGACCCTTTAACGGGCTGCTAGACTCGAGCTGGCTCTCGAGCTTATGCGGCCATTTGCGACTCCGCTCAAGGTGGGCAGAAGTTTGTGTGATTGGCACATCTGCCTTAGCACCGACAGTGTTGCAGCTACCAGTCCTGAACACTGCAAGCAACCACCCTAGCTTTTTTGGGAGAGAATCGGTAAGACTAAGCTGGGGGTGGAACGGGAAGTGAGTATGGATTAAGTTTGTTACCTACTTTGCTGCCCCCTCTGGCGCTCCTTGCTGCTTTACCAATGGTTACTCAGACCTGTTTTGTAACGGTTCTATGTGAGGCTTTGTCCGAGCGGACTGGTGGGCTGGCAGACGGACTAGCTAGAAAGTAGGCGGGCGTTCGAGCAACCGGCAATTGAGCGCGTGAAGTAGCGTCGCTGGTGACGAGAATATGCTTCATTTCGTATTCACAACACGCACGACGTGGCTTTTCCGCAAATGCTGGGAACTACTGCAGGGTAGTACTGTGGAACCAAGCCAAAAACTCCGCTGACTCACTTGGTCTTTTTCCTACTACTTCTACGGGCGTGCATCCCCATCCGATTTCCGGTTCGACCAGCCAAACAGTCAGACCTGGCCTGTGCTATTTTTCCAACCTCGGTTGGTCCTCTTTTAGTGGTGGCATTCGCAAAACTGTGACCCGAACTTCTTCCCGTTCCGTTTTTTCTGCTTTCTGCCTAGTGTCTTTCTATGTAATCGCAATTGGCCTCATAACTCGAAGAGGATAATGGTGCTCTGTAGAACCCCAGACATCAACATAGTCTTTACAGTGGGCGCTCCTGTAGCTATCCTGTCAAGGCCAAGCTATAGCCCGCAGCTTGGAGGCTAAAAACCGAAAAAAGCCGCCTAAGCTCAACGGACCAGTATGGAACAATAAGACAGAGAGCGAGATGGGAATGGGGGTAAAGCAAGAAAAAGGATGACTCAAAGCATGCAAAAAAAAGTGATGAAATGCTATGGGAGAAAAAGCTCGAACGGTAAGGACGGAAAGCGCTGCGACTTGGAAAAAGAAAAAAAGCCAATTTAAAGAAGAATGGCACAGTGAACGAGACCTACTGGTGGGCGGAAACAGCAGCGGCCCAAGCTCCACGATCTGTGTCGCCCTGGAAACGGCAAGCCTACAAACGCGGCTCTCATTACATGCACGATGCGTCGTTTCCGGAGCGCTCCAGTGCTTTCGTTTGCTCACAGTTTTCTATCTGAGGCCAAGTGCCTCAGCAGCACTGGAGTCTGAAACCTTAGTGGGAATTTCGAATTTCAAACATTAGCCAGTCCGACATTTTGGCTGGTGAAGGTGGAGAAAAATGATGGTGATGACCGAGATGTTGGCAGGGTGCGGGTGCACTGATGACTGTTTAATAAGAGCAGAAGGAAAAATAACAGAAAGAATGAAAAAAAGAGCAGGGAAAAACAACTTATGATTAAGGAATGCCAAGGGAAAACTGGGAAGTAGCTGGTAGAGCGTGGTATCAGACCACTTGAATAAAATTTGTCGTTGATGGCCACGCTTCCATATTATCTTAATTATTACCATCCCATAGCCTTATACGAACCAAGAATTCGTATATACGTGTATATACGAAGTGCCGACCATCTTGGAAAAAAACCTTAACGGATCGATTTTTGGCATCTGTAAGTCTGGATAGGTAAGGGTTGAACAATAACAGAAACGACATATTTGAGAAAAATTTTTTTGATGATACATAATACCTGGGCAGTTCTTCTCACTATTACGTTTAAGGTTAGGGGTACGGAATTGGTGAAAACAACATAGTTTTTCAACACAAATATCGCACCTGCGGTTTTACGCAGGTTTAACTCATTGCCGTAAATAGTTAGCTACAGTCAAAGGTGAAACAGGCGCAGACTCATAGCCAATCTCCTAGCAGACGAATATACCCTCTTCAGCTTCAAATATGATGAAGTTACCCAGATGGAATGTGGCAAAAGTTTGGTTCCTGATGCATCGATTAAATAAAGAAAAGTTATTCTTTATTGCTGTTTTATAATGCAAAAGTTGTAGACCTATTCAGGAGTTTATCTTTTACGTATAAAGTTAACAACCTCTTAGAAGTAACAACCCATCGCAAACCTAACTTGTTTGATTAAGTCGTATATATTTTTGTACAGATTTGCGATTGATACTTGCGAGTTGATGATACAGCTAGCGCCCTAATAATAACATGATTCATCCTCTCACGTTTCCTTTTTGTGTTTTCGCATACATGGTTCTAGGTGGTATTTATCCTGTTTGCGGCAATCGTCCTACTTCTTGTCGGTACAGGCTGCCACAGATATCAGCCTGTCAGCGGCCAGGGTGGAAAGCTTGGTGAGAAACGACAACTTGTCGTGCGCTTCGAAGATGGTGGCGCGTCACAAACGAGTCCTGAAGTACCGATGGAGCCGGTGTGAATTCCCGGACCAGAAGTCTTGTTATCTTCTATTGTCTAGCATATCATTCTGTTCATCATCCGTGAGGCTCCTGAAGTTGTCGAACGGGTGCCTATACCACACTATGGGCGTCCGTCAGCTTCGCGAACGATGTACGTTTAGTAGGGGACCCAGATGCCCTTTGGATCTTGTGACCCAGGCGACCTATTAAAAATCAGGAAAGGCGGCAAGGTGGTTAGCATGAATGAAGACTCTAATATGAAAATTGCCGATAATTGTTGGGTTATTAATTAGACATATATACATGTAGATCGTTAATTTTTGGAACCAGTTAGGATTCACACATACACATACGTCCCGTTAGTGAATCCTCGTGAAAGACTGATTCGCGGAAGATTGAGACGTCACGTGCTTCATTCATATCGGAATTCATCTACCTGTTAGTTTGCCTCGTGTGTCGCCACCCAGTGACTTGTCCTAATTATGTAAACTCGAGTTTAAATGTACATTTTAACCTATTTTCCGAATAAAAAAAGAAACCAAAAATATACCTGAGTCCGGCTGAATAAAAGAGACAAATGGAGGCTGCAGACAGGAAAAAACAAGAAGATGAGAGAAAAGCCTTGATTATGGCGACCGTTATAAGTGGAGAATGTGTACACCTACCATACAGAGACCAATCTTCAAGGAAACATTTATTTAGATTCCTTTCTACGGTGAAACAACAATATATGATATGGATGAGTGAGTATAATATATACTATTTATATATATAGCGTATGAAAGGCACCTATCATTGAAACATGACGTGAATTGGCGCCAGTAAAAAAGTGATACATAATCGAAAAAAGAGCAATCTGTTTATGAGAAGGAAAACATAAGAGAAAATCGATGGACTCTGTGAGCCCCATTTATTGAATGATGGATAATAGAAAATTTAGTCAAAATAAAGATTCCTCGGGGGTTCAAGGAAGCACATGGCTAAAGTAGCATAACTCACTTATGTGCTATTATCAAAGAACACGATAAGGGATATGCCGATGCTGTACATATATACATGTATAAGGCGAGAGATAGATCACGAAAAAAAAACAAAAAAACGTTTATAGATAATACATGTTTAAACGGCTAGTTCACAATGGGGATAAACAATCAAAGATATCATTTTAGTAGAACGACCACTAAAGAATACTTATATTTTCTAATAAGGTTCTGGTGTAAACCATAATTACAAATACACTTATGGAAAGTTATTGGCAAATGATCGGCAAACAAACAAATCAACTTATAAATAAGTGCTTTAATAAAGACAAGACGTTGTCGACAAAGATTTACGGCGTGAATATGTTGAAACACAGAAATAATTATAGGGCAGCAACTTTGCTGCCATGCGATGGTTCGGGAACTATTGTCCATGGAAAAGACAGAAAAAACGTCCGATGCTAAAAGTTACCGTTCAGGGTTACATCTAGAGCGTATTCGTCAACAGCATCCGATCTTCATTAGCAACAACTGGATAGAAACGAGACGCAGACAGGGTGCACGATATTCTTAACACCTTCAAAAAGGCAAACATATCTATAAACAAGTGGGCAACTCAGTTCCTTTTCGTCGTTTGTACTATATTACTTATACAATCGCATTGTACCCCCTTCTATAATCCCCTTCTATAATGTCGGTTATAACGACGATGATCATGAAATCCTAAGAAGCAAAGCAAAAATAAAGCAACTAATATAAAATTATTTGGCGACAAATTTTGTTAAATTATATATATATATATATATATATATACATATAATGGATTAAAATGTCTGTTTTAATTTCACACCGTATTATGTATTAGGATACATAGCATAAAGCTATAAACATTGTGTACAACAAAGAGTCTTTGTTGGTACGTTATGTGGTGTTTGTATTTTTTAATGCTAATTTTCCTCCTTTTCCTCATATCATTATTGTTACACTGCGTATATATATATAGATTTTATCCATCATTATATATATATATATATATATTTATATATGTGCGTGCATTTTTTCAATGTCTCTCTTTTCATCCAGTACATTATTTATAGTGTAGCTCCGATCTCATAGTAGCATTGTATGGGAACTAGCTTTGAATAAGATAGTTACGCGTCCGCGCTTATTACAAATGAAGGGCCGACAGCAAGTCTTCGTCTCTAGGTAACCGATTCGACCGCTTTACCGCCCTTCCTACCTAGCTTCGTCCCGACCGTGTTCGGGAGGCAGTAGCTTACTATTCTGGCACAGGACAGCGAAGGTGTGCCCTTTGAGGCCATCGATGGCCGCAGACAGACACGTGGCTTCTTTGAAAACAGATCATCAGACGAAACCTACGCAAGCGTTGCGTGTCGTTGGAAGAAACGTCGGAAAAAAGAACTTCATCGTTGTCGAAACCCCGAAGAAAGCATGACTAATATGTACAATATCGCTTAAGAACAGGAAACGTGCGAGGAAACTGGATGAACGGTTGATGGCCTTTTTAGGAAAGCGAACAACAGACTGTGATGGCGATATATATATATATATTTATTGTAACGCACCGCGGACGTGTCTTCGTACGCAATATCAAAGACGTTGATAATAAGAACACACGCACATAATGACTTGCTAGCTTCATTTGAGTTACCAGTAAATGACAGGCATCACGCTGAGGAGATATCATTCGACGTGATCGTGAGTAGTTCACGTCAAGATTTTTTGGCACGAACCGCAATTGCGCAATCGGAACCGCGTTGTGTCGATTTCAAGACGTCGGCTTCCCTTACGGACATCAGCGGTCACACTCGTAATGGGCATTGGCGAGGGCTGGCTCTAGTCATGTTATGTCTGTTAGCGTCTGTTCTTTCTCTCACTAGTCAATTGGACTTTATCTCAATAACGAAATATGAAGCAATAGGTAAAAGAACTCAAGAGGAAGAAGGAACCTAAGCGGTTCTCAAACGACGGTATTCCTCTGAAGACATTTTGTATGTCATGTGCCATTTTTCCTTTCCTTTCTTAGCGGTCGCAACCACAACACGCCGTCGCCTAATATTCCTTCTTTTTATTTGACACACATTCGTTGTAGCCATTGTTTAGACAAACCGTAAAAGAAGTGATCATTGGATATTGATCGGTTAATTTCATGTAGTACCCTTAGACAGTTGGTCAAAATGGTCTTTCACTATGTCAAATATTCGATATAAATAAAAGGATAATCAAAATGCGAAAGCTACCAGGAAACTCGATTATGTGACTGATGCCGACCTCAATTTTGTCGACACAGATATGCGATAATATGCTCTTTGAAAGGAGATCGTCCGAAATTGGTACGGAAAATTGTCAAAAACCTTACCACTTGTACGGCAAGTAATTAAAGCATAAGTTAAATAAAAGAGAAAGCAAGGATGTCGAGAGAAAAACAGAAATATCGAAATTCGGTGTTTACTATCATTACCGTACAAATGTACCTCTATCTCGTCAACCACCAGGCCTATCCAGAACAAACATAAAAGAAGCCGTAAAATAAGACTGTTTGGAAAAGATAGAATGGAAATACTGAAACAGTTTGATCCGGCATCAGGAAAAGCGAAAAATTAGCTTTTACATAATTACTTATTATGTATTCTACCGTTAGTTGATTGCGGAAAGTGTCTTCTAAACATGTGGATTAAGAAATTAATTAACTAATCGGAAAATATAGTTATTATAACAGAGACAAAAATTCGTATGTTATTTGATGGTTTCGGCTGGAAGGTTTCGGCAGGTATCATTTCAACAAAAGACTGGATATTGTCGACTATAAATCCAATAGATAACTTTACAAAATACTTATTTTTAAAAATTTAAGCCTACTACGGACTTTATCGATCCACGGTAGGTGATGTAAACCCGCAAAGAAATAGTGAGCTGACCCAAATAAAAATACTGCAAATGTCAATTATTTTTAAAGCACTGACAACTAGCGCAACCTTCTTGGAAACCTGCGTTCGGCTAGTTTAGGCCTTTTCAAAAAGTATATGCGAAAAACCTAGAAAAGATCATTCATAAGTTCAACTACTTACGACGAGATAATGATACATTTTAAATTATCGTAACGGAGTCCTTCAAAATATTTTTTTAAAGGGATCGCTCCTACCCTTATAGATAACTCAAATCCACTTTAATTTTTAGAACTTTGTAAATTATAAAAATTAAATTTTTGCCTTCTGAATCATTGCCCAGCTAGTCTTTCTAGCTTACAATTTCGATACGCAATACGAAATAAAAACTGCTCGAAAACCTTTAAAAATATATAATAGATACGTATGCATAAGACAGCTTGGTTGACAGCATAGTAAATTATGCTACTTTGGAGGCTCTCACAGATATTTTAAATCGACATACGTTTGTAAATGCCACATAATCTTGTGTTATAACCGAACGTACTTTTTACAGCCGACGCAGATCATTGAAGACTCGAAGATTTATCGATCACATCGAACATAGGTTAGGTTTGCCTACATACGTACGACTAAACAGTGACCTTTGGGTTGGAATCGAGTTTTACATGAATTTTACGTGCAAGACGATGTTTCCCGAAGAATTAATTATCATCTCTAAAAGTGGGCTAACTCTTATATTATCACGAAGTTCTGTAGAACAATAAGCTGTCGTTGCGGTTGTTCGTGGCGCAAATCAGCAGAGGCAACTTCGTGTGGTCGTCCGCGTAGTGGTATAGATCGGCAAACAAACCCCAGTTAGAAAAGGAAGCAATAAGGCAATCTTAGATAATGTGGTATAATCTATGAAGCTTTGAGGGGAATAAATTTTGAAAGAATTGGTGGATCTTAGAAGATATGGAATCGTGAACATTGTTGAAGGGCGGATAATTAGACAGCTTTCACGGACCGGGAGCCGGGGTTAAGGAAAGCAGGGGAGCTAGAGTCTCGTAAAAAAATCCTAGGCAGCTTTTCTTCCTTTTGGTCTGGCAGAATGGGAACAACTTTGTAAAAAAAAAGGCTCATAAGATTGCCAATTGAAAGAGGAAAGTGACCGAACAGCTTTGCTGACAATTCGAGAAATTGGAAGAGTCGAGATCAAAGAATGACATGAATACAACGGCAGAGTACGGCTGTAATAGAAGTACTAATATCAACTCATAAGACCATCGCAAGCGCAATGGTGTGACGGCTTGCGCTTAGGGATAGCGAGCACTCGCACTACGAGAGGCAGATTCAAGGAGTGAAATCACAGCGACCATAGGCCTTTTAGTTCCTTTGTTCGCTTAGCTTGTAAGTAATTCAAAACTGAGCGCCAGTTGGGGCCGATGACGGCAGGGTCACGGCACTGCATAAAGAACTATCCCTTGCTGTCTCAACAGCGGCGGCTACTGAGTGGTGCTCGAAGCAGAAGAGAAGGACATAAACAAATGGCCTTCTGGTTCAAGTTCAATTGCGAGCGAACGCCGCGCCGGCTTGTCCCGGCTACGACGTTAAGCTGTTTCAAGTCAGAGGTGGCCTTGTAAACCGCTTTGCTGGTGTCATGGGCTGAAACCCATTTAGTGTCTTTCGGTGCCCGGCTGAGGGTGCTAGCGAGACTACGTATGGGCTAAGGCAGGCATTTGACTTTTCGCTTCGTCGCACCTCTTATCAAGTGCTTGAGTTTCAAACAGGTACGTTCTAAGAGTGACACGTAGGATAGGGTAAAATGCAACCGCATCAGTAGCACCAGCAGCAACTTGCTCAGTAGACGTTGACGCAGGAAAATATATAGGACATATTAGACTGAAAGGAAGGTAAGTACTAGGCGGAGAAAAATGCACATAATATATATAAACGCATGCTGTGTTAAATTAAGTATAAGTAAATTGTATGTAATCGTATACGTGGCCGTATATGTATAATTTCTCGAAAAATTTCATTCAAGATGACCGCTGTTGTACGTATGGCCAGCTGTTATCCTTGCATTAAAAGTGCGTAATTTCTAACCTTACTGCCAAACCTGATGGCTCTCGCATGGTTACAATATCTCCGTGTTCCGCTGAAATCGGAACTACGGAGGAACGTTAACCTGCGTTACATCTGAGATGCAGCCCTTGCAGGAGGCGCCATTTCTCGACTGACATTACAAATGATGCTGTAACATGAATAAAAAAGTCCCGGTAAGCATTTCCGGAAACGGTAGTAATTTTGAATATGACGAGGATTTTTGTTTGTGACCGTTAGACGGTAAACCGGTGGACTGTGTTCCTTCAAGAGACATATAAATATTGTATTTGAAGGATTTCAAAAGATGTCGTATCACACGAGTCTTGTTTTCGTTTTCAAAAAAGTGCTTGTAAAATTTTTTTAAATATACACCTTTATAACTTCACTTTTTTCACGTTTTTCAATCTTCACTTCAAACTCCTCCAAAGATACATAATGGCGGTCTTCTGCGGATTGTCAAATACCTAATCATTAGACATTATAAAAAAGTTGGACCGCGGTACGAATGAACATACGAGATTAAAACGCAGTCTCGCGATGAAATCGCAATAGGTATATTAGAAAGGACTAAACATAAACATAAAATGTGTGATTCTATATACGGTACCCACTGCAAAAGTACCGCTGTTACCGGTTTTAAACCCTGTGCTGAAAACGAAGGGGCTCTCCTTCCCTTTATTAATGGATCAAAGTATTTGCCCATTATGAATGTTTTGTTGTTGTAATTGTTTTCCTTTAAGGGAATAACTTTAATATTTGATTCGACACATGGTTTCCTGAGTATTAGCGCACAAACTCAAAGGGTTATAAAGAGATTCGTATTTGGTAACTATATATAAACTCATATACAAAACATTTTATAACAGTTGCTATACGCAGAGAAATGAACACAATGAGTCGTATGTTTCTTCCGTGTTTTCCGTCCGGCGCTTAAGTCGTTAGGAATTACGAAGGAACGATTATTTGTCAATATGAAATGAAGTATGCCTACGCCCTGATTCAAAGCCAGACCACCAAATGTCTCCAGGCTTAGCAATGGCTATTAGAACTTCGTCTTTGCGTATTTACCGATAGCGTAAGATGACCCAACACTCATACCATAGCAAACCCCAATAGACTGCGCTGTTTCTCCGCAGAAAGTGTACCGGGCTGAAGATCGCCGGCGACGCACGATAAAAAAAACTCTCTAATAGAAAGTATATGTCGAAGTATGAGCTATTTAGGTTTAATACTCAAATACAAATGTGAAAATTAGTTTTTTCGGCCGTGCTCTGCCGCGCGACATAGGTTCAACTTACGTTTGAATACGAAAGAACACAGAAGACTCGTAATTATATATGTTCGAAGACCGAGTGTAGCGGTAACCAGCACTCCATTCGCAACTGGGCCGTTATTCAATGGACGAATTGTAAATAAAAGTGTCATCGCAATCTAATATATGGTTGGTTCAGTAAAATTCGTCGTCTAGAAGAAAGGAAAACAACGACACCGAGCGGAAATGGAAAAACTTCCGACCCCGCCACAACAAGACACACTCTAAAGCGTCCACGTGGCGCCAAGTGTGCGATGAGCTGAACTGGGAAACGCTACCCGCACTGGCTAGATGGCGATTATACAAAAATTCGTCCAAGCAGTTTTCAGCTTTCAAAGAGTAACTTAAGCCCAACTGACAATAAGTGAAGAACAAGTTGTACTGAAGAGAGCAACGTGGCCGGAACATAAAATATTTATTTCGTAAGCAATCTGCCCTAATTACAGGAAACAGTTTTCCGTAACTGATTCGAAACTGTCCCCTCTATAGTAGTACTTGACATTGGTTCAAAAGCTTGTGAAGGTAAAGGACCGCGTACGAGCAATCTCAATAGAAAGAGTTCTATTATAAGTTCTGCACAGCCCTGATCGAACTAGGAGATCATCATATGACCGACTTCCTGTCCCGCCGTAAGTAGGCATGTAACCACCGCATCATCGCCGGCACATAGCAAATGTAACAGTGAACGGAAAACCTGCTTCTGCTCAAACCGGATAATTTGCACGTTTAATATTAAATGTTCAAAGACAATAAATCCCTGGGAAACACAGTCTTCGCTTAATATATTTTCAGAAATATGTTAGATGAATAAAAAATAAAATAGATAAATATAACTGATACTTACACACTTAAGATACACTTAAGCCTATGTCTCAGCATGCGCGCGGATTGGCGTAAAATTATTTTAGCTTGCGTCTTACGATATGGAAGGAACCTTTTTAGTATCGATCTGCATAGTTGTGCTTCCCTGGAACTTGTTCTTTCCATACTGAGGTTATATATATATATATAACCTGAATGGCCTATTTTATTAGTCCATATGTGTAAATACATATAAACTAATAAAGTAGGCCATAGTACACCGTTGAACTGGTCAGCAGGCGACGAATCGTACAGTTCTAGTATTCCTACTGCTAGATATGAATTTTTGTGGGAAAATTGTCGGTGTATCAATTTATTATACAAGTATGCCGTGATAAATTGTACTTTTGTATCAAAAATCCTCTAGAACGTAATTTAAGTATTCTCTGTTCAGTCAGCCCATAGCTTTCCGTAGCCACGCTATTTCTTGGAATTGCTTATGGAGAGTGTTATCAGAAATACCTGATTCATCTTGTTTGTCTCAGGCGGTCCGGTAGCAATGCTACTTGCGAGAATTCTTTTTTTCCAGGTAGTTCCTATTCGGTGATTTGATGTTTCAAAAGCCAGCAAAAGTTAAATGATGAATTCGTGCTAAAAACGACGAGCGTGCGTCCGGTCGATTTAGTAAGTTTCCGCTATTATTATCTAAGTTCCGGCTTTCGTTTTCGCAACTTTCGCCGGATAGGCTCGTCAAAAACAATATCATAGAAAGTGTAAGCTC